AAACCCAAAAAAAAAAAAAAAATGAATAGCACCCAAGCTACAGGAAACAAAACCTCTGTTTGCTCCATTAAAACCCCAAATTCTTAGTTCAACAAACTCGTTCATAATTGATTAAGAAAAGCATCATTCTCCAAAGTTACTTCAAGAACAAGACTCAATAAAATACTAGGTGATTTTTCCCATCTACCTAAGCTTGGTAGGTACCTGTACTGATAGGAGGTAACAGATACCCAGAAAATAGTCGAGAAGCCCGCAAAGGCAGAGCCAGGAATTGAAGTTTATGGGTTCTGAACTTGCCACCGAACCCATAGCTTGTTTTAGTATTAGTACTAGGTTCGCAATTTAGAATGTGTACATATTTAAAGGATTTCCTAATACAAATACAGGATTTAAGCAAAAGCTACCACACTAGCTCCGCCACTAGGTGCGTGCAAGTTGGCCCGGACACCACCATTAAAAATAGAACTAGAGCTAATACACTAGCTTATTTGACTAAGATTTGAAAGAGCTAATGCACTAACTTAACTTACCAAGAAAATGAGCAAGGCCTTCAAGACCCTTAGGATCACTATAATATCCCACAGGCACGCCCATAGAAGCAGCACACTGATCCAACAACATAAAAAGTAAATTTTATACAAGAATCCAACACAACAATATTCATATAATGTCATAAAAATAGTTCAAGAAAAACCTTCTCTGTTTCAGGATCACTAATGAGGAGGACTTCAAGACAGTTTTGAAGGACTATTCTTCTATACTCCCTCTTATCTGAACGAGCCTTAAATATCTCCACAGATTCTTCTACTGTGCCTACAGCCATTTTTTTGAAACCCCAACTGCTCAAACGCACAAATTTTTAAGTCCAGGAATGCAAATGGGTATTTCAAGAATCAATGAAATAGAGAAAAAGAGAGTAAAGGGTGAGCGCAAAATGTGAACTTGGTTTAAGAAAATTTGTTTTCTTGAAATGTAGAGAAATTTTTTGTGCTCTTGCTAGAGGAGCAAAGACTTTTGGTTCGTTGGGTTCGTTGCAGCCTAATATAAGAGAAGCAAGTGGTCAATGCCTAGTCGTCGGTGTAAGAGAGGATTAAAGATTACTTATCCAACAAAAGGCATTACATAGCAATGTGACAAAGCCCAACAACAACAACCAAGCCAGTATAATTTCAAAAGTGGAAACTTTAGCCCATCTAGAAAGTAGAGAACTTGTTTACGATAGACCCAATAATCAGTAATTAAAAAACTTTATAGCACCAAGCAATAACAACAACCAGATAATAAGAAATCGAAACGAAAAGAATAACAGGTAAAAAAAGGACTAACACTTATACTTTTGACTATCTAGTAGCTATCTACCTTGATTCTCGACCTCCACACCTTTCTATCTACCTCGATAAGCTGAAGTAACGTCATATACTGCCTAATCACCCCACCCCAATACTTCTTTGGCCTACATCTACCTCTTCTTAGCCCCTCTACCACCAACCTCTCACACCTCCTCACTAGGACATTTGTGTTTCTCCTCTTCACATGCTCAAACCATCTAAGCCAAACTTCTCGCATATTGTCCTCCCCCGGAGACACTCCTACTCTGACCCGGATATCTCCATTCCTAATCTTATCCACCTGGTAAGCCCACACATCCATCTTAATATCCTCATCTCTGCTACTCGAGTTCTTGACTGGCCAACACTCAGCCCCATACAATAAAGCCGGTCTAACCACCACTCTGTAAAATTTGCCTTTAAGTTTAGGAGGCACATTGTTATCATATAAAACACCGAATATTAGCTTCCATTTCACCCACCCCGCTCCATATGGTGCACTTTCCTTCTTTAATGGTCTTTATACATTTCGCTCTTATTTCTTCGCTGTCAAAGCTGGTTCCTTTCCCAGAGAAATCCCGAGGGTGTTTCTCTTGTGCCTTCTTGAATTCTTTAACTCATCTAATTGAGAATGCCACATGTCACCTTATTGATGGTCCATATGTCATGCTTTGTCACCTTGATGATAGTCCACGTGTCATGCCTTTTTTTCCACCAATACAGATAGTTCCCTCACTTTTTGAATATTCTCAATTGAATATTCGGGAAGTGGTAAGTATTTATGGCGGGAATTCTTTGTCGTTGTTTCTCGAGTATCATAATGCCTTTTTCAGAATCGATGCGACATACGTCATGTCCATTTAATACCCAAGCCACATGGCTTACCTTGATTGGTTCTACAGTTTCAACGCTTTTGTAGGGTTTTTCTGCGGCTGCATCAGTGATGAAGTGATGATTCTATTATAACAGTTCATAATGACCAATCTTGATGACGATTGCTTTTCCTTATAAATACTTCATCATGCTTGATTTTTTTTTTGAAATCCTCTTCCTTCTTCTTGGCATTCATCTCCTTAACCTTCCCTCTTACTCCTCTATATTTTCTTTGTCAAATATGTCTTCTTCAACACCAGACCCTCGTAAAGTTGTGATAGTTGATGAACTTGCTCCTTCTACTGCCCCTAATAGGAGTAAGAGAGGTGGCAGACTCCGTAGTCTTGGTTCATTATCTACTCGCAATTCTACTTCTCAAAGTAGTTCTCTCAAACCATCTTCTTATAGGTCTAAAGCTCCCTTAACCCCTAGATCTTCTTCTAAGGGTAGGGATCAGAATGAACCCATATGTGAGCCTACAGTTTCTGAGATTATCCCTCAAAATTTTCTTTCGTGTCAGACCGCGAAGCTATAAAAAATCAAGTTTCTTCCATTGCATCTCTTAACCCTACTGAACATTACCTAACAGTCTGATCACTCCAGGACTTCTTTCTGCAGTCCGACGTGAATGTCATTGGAAATTAGATTTTTCAGTTTTGATTCCTGGTGCCAATAAAAGAATCACTTCTTACCATGCTAGCTTTTCTTTTATTTGCACTTATCCTTTCACTTTAGGGTTTAAACCTCCCATTGACCCAGTGATCATTGAGTTAGGTCGTTATTTCAATGTTTGCCTCGGCCAAATCGGTCCCATCGTGTGGAGAGTAATTGCTTGCCTTCACTATTTATTGGATTTGGTTTCCGCTCCTTTTACCTTCCGTCACTTACTCCACCTTTATTCTCCAAAAATGTTCCTTGAAGGCATTTTTTCTCTCGTGGCTAGAAGTAAAAAGGTTTTAGTCAGCCCCGAGGATGACCATGACCGTGGCTGGTACGCCCGATTTGTTGTTGCCCCCACTAGTGATTTAGTGGGTGACGAAAACATGCATTTTCCTGAACCATCTTCTTATATGTCTAAAGCTCCCTTAACCCCTAGATCTTCTTCTAAGGGTAGGGATCAAAATGAACTCATACGTGAGCCTACAGTTTCTGAGATTGTCCCTCAAGATTTTCTTTCATGTCAGACCGTGAAGCTATAAAAAATCAAGTTTCTTCCACTGCATCTCTTAATCCTACTGAACATTACCTAACAGTCTGATCACTCCAGGACTCCTTTCTGCAGTCTGACATGAATGTCATTGGAAACCAGAATTTCTAGTTTTGATTCCCGGTGCCAATGAAAGAATCACTTCTAACCATGCTAGCTTTTCTTTTATTTACACTTATCCTTTCACTTTAGGGTTTAAACCTCTCATTGACCCAGTGATCATTGAGTTCTATCGCTATTTCAATGTTTGCCTCGGCCAAATTGGTCCCATCGTGTGGAGGGCAGTTGCTTGCCTATGCTATTTGTCGGATTTGGTTTCCGATCCTTTTACCTTTCGTCACTTACTCCACTTTTATTCTCCAAAACTGTTCCGTGAAGGTGTATTTTCTCTCGTGGCTAGAAGTAAAGGGGTTTTAGTCTGCCCTGAGGATGACCATGACCGTGGCTGGTACGTTCGATTTGTTGCTGCCCCCACTAGTGGTTTAGTGGGTGACGAAAACATGCATTTTCCTAAAAATGGAACTTTGCATGTAAGTGTTTCTTTCTCTTTCTTTCTTTGATGTATTGAGTTCCTTTACATGATCATATATTCATTGTTTCAGCAACCATGGGAGTTTTCGAAGAAATTTCTGACTTCCGTGCTTGGGTAGAAAAAATGTTAATTGCTGCTCCCATGGACAAAAGATTTTGAAATTTTCTTTCACAAAAATCCGAATAGAAAGTGAAGACCCATGGTACTTTTTTTATTTTTGTGGTTTCCTTTGTTTTTGCTTGTTCTTTGCTTTTAACGTATATAACTTTTTCCCTTTTTATTAGGGTCCATTCGTGGCATCAGCCCCTCGGTCAGGCTTTCTGTAAGCTCTGCACAAGAGCAGATTTTGAGTGCATCTTTCCTCCAAGAGGAAAACCGCTGAAGCATGTGGGTCTGATGATGAAGAGGATACCGAAGAAGGTTCCTTAGTGGGGAAACCACGTGTCAGAGGCACGTGGTTTCGGATGATGAAACCCATGTCCCTCAAGATCCTCATTCAAGTTCAATTCCCTTAAGTCTCGTTGATGAGCCAGAGAATGTCCCTTTGGATATTTCTTATGAAGATGTTAGTAACTTAGACAACCCTCCCTCAAGTCCTGTTGAAAGGTTATTCGTCCATGGCTTTGAGGGTGAAGAAGGACTCGGGCCTATTTTTGAAGAGTTGTCACTTGCTTCTCTTCCAGTGTTGCCAGTTACACCTACTGTTAATCCCCATGTTTCTTTGCCTATAGTTACCCAATGGTTGCCCCCGCTGCTGCCCCTCATGTAGAAATTGAGCCTTATAGCAGCAGGCGGGGTATAAAAAAAGTTTTGATTGAAGTCCCCAATGGTGGAAATTTGTTGAAAAGATCTGGACAAGAAGATGTGTGGCTAAAACCATTTGCTAGGACCCTTAGAAAAGAAGACGTTGGAGGGCCACAATTCTTTGACCTTGATGAATGACATCATTCACTCTTCTCTTAAGGTATAACTTAACTTTCTTATTTTCCTTTTCTTTTCTCATTCATAACTCCTCTTCTTTTGTCTTTTTGTAGATCAATTTGACAGGTACAGAGCTTATGAAAAAGATTTCTTGGACTGATTAGCAGGTAGTTGAGTTGTGCACTGAGGCTGACAACTGGAAAGAACAATTTAAAGGCCTTCAATTGGAGAAAGACGTTCTTGCGGAGGAGAAAGGAGCTTTGGAACAACAATTGAGGATGGTCTCCGCTGAACTAGCGATTTTAAAAGCTTCTTCCAGTCAAGTTGAGAAAGAAAAGGACAAACTGGAATCATCATTTTCTGAACAACATTCTAAGGCTACTGAAGAGATAAGGAGTTTGAAAGGGCTCCTTAATCAAAAAGAGGTTTACGTAGGTGATCTGGTATAGAGGCTTACCCAAACTCAAGAAGACCTCCATGCCTCCACAAATAAGATTCAGTTCCTTGAAAGTTCTCTTGCTCCTCTGAAGGAAGCTTATGAAGCTTCGGAAGCAGAAAAAGAAGAGTTGAAAGTTGAGATTGAGCAGTGGGAGAAGGATTATGAAGCCTTTGAAGACAAATCAACACTTGATATTAGTTGGGCTTTTTTGAACACTCACTTCGAGACTTTAACTGAAGCTAGCCAGGAAGGCTTTGACCTTAATGCTGAGATTGCAAAGGCTAGAGAAACAATTGAACAAACTCAGCAGCGTCAAAGCTTCTCTACGCCCGAGGACGAAGGTTCCAATGATGATGGAGATGGACTTATTCTTGGTGAAGCCAATGTTCAACCCTCTTCTCCTCAAGTTAATCCTTCTTCTCCCGTGGATGATGCTCCCTAATTCTCCCTTTTCTTGACTTTTTGTTGAAAGCATTTGGTTTTTGGTTTTTGGTTGGAATTCTCTTGTGTTTTTGGATAATGTTTGGAAGGTTTACCGCCTCTATTTTTGGGGTAATGATATAAATATCTTTATTACTTTTGCCTCATATTATGCTTTCTACTCTTTGATTTTTTTGAGCTTATTCTTGCACTTAAAATGCTTTAGTAGACCGCGACTTCAATATGCATTGGTTTTTATAAAAGAGGGCCCTTTTATATTAACAACACTGATGAAGATGACGTCTCATCTTCATATTGGTGCAGGGATAT